GCTGCCGGGCAGCACGCAAACACACGACAGTGTTTTGTCTGTGGAGACACCCGTCACCAGCGGAACGGTTTCCCCCTGCGCAAGGTGCGCCAAGGTTCTTCGAATCATCGGCCCAATGCCTATCAGTCTGGTTCGTCGCGGGGAAACGACACCATTCAGTAGGCGCGGGGCGACCGACTGGGGAAGAGCTGAGTTCTGTTGACCCTCAGGGAGGCATAGGTCAACAGAGCCTAGCCCCGAAGAGCTCCGTGCTCTTAAACACGGAGCGTGTGTGCAAGCCGGGCTTGCTGGTCGTGGAGGCGACCGTAAAGGGCTTCGAGAAGCTCATCGATTCTGGGGCGTCGGGCAATTATGCTTGACGCTCTACGATGAAGGGAAGTCAGCTGATGTTGAGGCGCTGAAAGCGCGGTTGGAGACATCGTCACTGTTCGCCTAGCGACGGGGGCGCGTGTCGCGGTCCCGTGGGTCCTTGTGGGCCTCGGAGTCAAGTTTCTTGACTTTGATAGCGTAAAACGCTGTCTAGTCTTAGACTTGGATACAAGGTATGACCTCATCCTAGAAATGGCATGGTTGGAACACCATGAGCCGTGGATTGATTGGAGGTCAAAGACCTTGGGCGCTACGCGCACGTCTCCTGGTGGAGCTTTGGCGACCGAGACGGTCAACGTGCTAGACATTGGAATGTCCGAGTTGGTAGACACTAACTGTGCATTGGACAGGAGTCCCAAGCGTGGCTCGCGGGCTGATCGTGGAGTGGCACGTAGCCCACTGAGCGCTGCTCAAGTTTCGCAGCCGTCGCTGCATATCATGCGTGACATGGTCGGCCAAGGTCCGAGGCATCGAGGGCGAAGCCCCGTGATGCACGTGAAGTGGCACGTAAACCACTGAGCGCTGCTCGAGTATCAAAGCAGTCGCTGCATGTCATGTGTGACATGGTTGGCCAAGGGCCGAGGCATCGAGGGCGAGGCCCCGTGATGCACGTGAAATGGCACGAAAACTACTGAGCACTGCTCTCGTTGCGAAGCAGTCGCTGCATGCCATTGATGGCGTGGTCCGACAGAGTCCGAGGTATCTTTGGCACGGTCCTTCATATGCGCGTGAAGTAGCACGTTCTCCACTGGACGAAGACTGCAGGGTTAGCAGCTCTTCGTCGGGTGCTGTAGATAACTATGATAACATCGAAGGAGCGGACAGCGAGGGTGACACCGGTCGACGCGGAGTGCGTGTTCACCCTGGTGTCACCGAGACATCGAACCTCTGTACAGAGGCGACGGCCACGCCGTATGCTGGCTGCAAGACGCCGGGCGTCGACCCTGGCCCAGGGTGTGTCTACCGTAGACGACGGTACACAGTTATACACCCTCGTTAACGGTATGACGGGGGATGAAGATGGTGACGTCCGCCTCGAGCCTATGCCTGCAGTAGATGCTCTTCTTGAGCTGGACGAGATGTCCCTTGAAGAGTCCGAAAGTGCCTTAATAGCAGGTGATTTGGCCGAT